GAGAACTCCCTTTCTAGGTGAAAAAGCTTCCAGCAGAACCCGGCTCTGTGAGGGGAGAGGATAACACGAGAGACCACAAACAGCAAACGGGACAAATCACAAACTACGAGACAGAATCACACATTTGCTGGATCGTGTGAGCGCTTCAGTTCGCTGTCTGCTGGGAGTTCAGTAAATAGAGCTTAATACAGCTCAAGTACACAGACTGAGTCGGATGACGCACCAAATCAAAGCAGTTTAATGGCAGGAAGCATGACAACATCCCTGGAGACTAGAAGCTGGTAGTCATGGTGAAACACACCACAGATGGAGGCTCAGCTGAGGCATCCAGGTAAGGTGGAGATGTGGAGGAGGTGAGTTGCATGAATGAGAGTCTGAAATGCAGAATAGCAGTGAGATTTAAAGCACAGGGAACAGAGAGACTAACTGGCTCTCAGAAAACAGGCAAAAAGACTATTGGATCAAAGACGACAGAATTGAGTTTGACAGAGTGGGAAAGCGGAAATGACGAAAGAGCAGCAGCTCAAACACTCAGGGCTGCAGGCAGGTAGGAGGAAACAGAGCAGATGACGGAGGTTGGACAGCAGTGCTCTGGTCAGGATGTGCCAGCTATTCCGTTTTAATGGCCAGCAGGGGGCGCCTGCTCTGAGTACAGGAGTCATCCTGCTCCTTGGATCTTTGGCCTCAGTAAAAACTTGATCCTGATCAGTCCTGCTGCTCTCAGCCACGAGGCTTAATTCCTGCTGAATGTCCTTCATTTAGTGCAGTGTGACCCTAATAACCGCAGAGATAACGGCGGAGCCGGTCGACATGCTCGGGTTTGATTTTTGAGCTCAGAGCATCTGACTCACCTGACTTTCTGTTTAACTAAAATTAAGAAAGACTCTGACTTTTGTGTCCATACTGTCACCTAGTGCACTGGTGTCCTTCCACTCTCACACATGATATCCATGAAACCAGAAGCTATAACTTAAGATGCACATTTAAGGAAACCAGTTAACAGAGTACTGCAAGAAAAACAATCCCAGTCTGACTTACATCGGCTCATCGCTCCAAAGTCATTGGGGTATTTGTCTCTATCAGCCGTTTGACCCTGGTGGTGTTAGTCTCTGCATCTCCTCCATCACTGGTCGGCCAATCACGGCCTTTAAAAACTGATCATTTATGTTTAAGTTTGGTTGAAACATGAAAGATGAAAAGACTTTTCAAACATCACAAACACTTCCGTTCAACCTGTTCTTACATATTCGTCATTTCTCTGCTGATCATCGTCTGAATGGTAGCTGGCTGTCAGGGCTGAAACCACATTAGAGTTGTTTCAAGATGAAAACTGACGTTCACCCCTCGGCCATAGGCTGGTGGGGTACTGTCGTCGCCCCGCTGGGCAGCCAGGTGTTCGCAATAAGTCGAGAACAAGGTAACACAGGATTTTCACATTCATAACGGTGCAGCTACTAAAAATCTGGAATGAGTTTAAATCTCAGCGAACTTGACCTCAAGGCCAAGGTCAGAGGTCAGGTTTTTTGAAAATGTTGTGAACATAACAGCTCAATGATTTTCAAATTCATCCTATTAGTGCATCCACAGGCAGGCTGAGGGGTAGCACCGGGGCCGTCAGCGTTTTTATAACATGAACGTTCTGGGTTTGAATCTGAGGGTCATCTGAGGAGTTTGTAGAGTGTTGAGGACGACACACTGATGCACACGGCTCAGCAGGGTTTTTCAGCTGCTGACAGAAAACGTATATAAACACACGCCGGTCCAAAGCCAAGTTCAGCTGTGGTCTGAGGTGGTGAGTGTTATGGACTACGGTAAGTGCTAAAAGTGCACTCAGTGGCTCTGTTGTTGAGGTCCGAGAGGTCAGGAGCAGAAAAAGCTCCATCGAACCTGTTTTTGCTGGACGCAGTTAGCAGGGTAAAAACATCAGGATGTGCCAGATTACAGGATGTGGTGGGGTTTGATGCACCAGCGATAGAAGGCGGGGGCCAGCAGCTCTTGTGTGATGCTGTGTTTGCTGCCAGCAGGTGTAAACAGTAGGCTGGCTAAAGCCGTGTTTATTATCTACGCCCGAGCTGCCGGGAGCTGTCAAACTGCTTCATTGGAGGTGGATTCAGATGGGAGCAGTGTGCGCTCGATGTGCCAGTGACATTCAGCTGTCACAGACTGTAAGTGCACCACTGCGTAAAGTGAGAGATGGAGTGCTGCTGAAGTGCTGATACAGTCATTTATGCAGAGGGTGTTGAGAAATGGACTGAGGATACAACCACGAGGGGCTCCGGCATTGATGCTGCTACACCTCTTCTGACAGCCTGCGATCTTTTAGTGAGACGCACTTCGCCATGCTAATGTGTCATGCAGTACACAGGAAGCATCATTGAAAATGTTTTCTGTAATGCACAAAAACTAAGAAATAAGAGGCTGGATTGGAGTCGTTTAAAGCAGCCCAGAGAATACAGAATATTAAATCGCTGTAAAGTTTTAAACACAGCCGTGGGGTATGAATATAACCAAAGGATGAAAGACAAAAAGAATTTCCCCCAAAAATCTCTTCTTCTCTCAAGAGTTTCAAAACAGAGGCAGCGAGTGTTTTTAGAATGAACTGCATGGAGAATAACAGAGAATAATAATAAAGAGAGGCTGTTATGAGGCAGCAGATGAAAATATAAGTGGCTTGAGACTGACGGAGAAACACTGTGGCAGCTCGGGGCAGAGATAACCAGATGGAGACTAGTTGTGGGGCACGGTGAGAGAGGATATGGATAAAGATTTGCAAACAACAGAAACACAGACAGAGGTCAGGCGAGGAGACAGAAACCAAAGACTGTGGGGATGTGGGTGCAGCGGGAGACAGAGCACAGGTACCAAAGAGGGAAGAAATGCAGGAGAGAAAGCAGAAAAGGGGAAATAACAAGAAAGGCAACACAGAAGAGGAAGAGGAAGCTGTGAAGAGGAGTAGAAAGTGCGATGGATGATGGAGATGTGCCAGAAAAGAGAGGAGGAGGAACACGAGGCAGGGAAGCAGGAGGAGGGAGCGATTAGGCTGAGTGAAAAGTAGAACAGAGGCGAAGAGGAGGAGACGCGTCTGTGATACAAGTGTAACTAATGTGTGTGAAATCACCAGGCGGCCGCCAGCTACGGCTCAGCTGGGAGATCAGCTAATCTGGCACACTGGCTTTTATTAATTAATCAGTTACTGTATGCAACGGAGGGAAGGGGGGTACGTGAGCAGAGGGGTAAGAAGGAAAGAAGTGCTTCCCTGAGTGAGGGAGGGGCGAGCAGAAAGGTAGTGTGGGATGAGAAGAAGAACAAAAGTGTGTGTGTTGCTTTAATGCTCTTGACTGCAGGCTGGAGACGCAGCTTTCAGTTCTAGTGAAGAAATCCCTGATGCTCAAAACTATGTACAAGTGCTTAGGTGAAACGAGGTCTTTGTCTTCAGCTGCTTTTCTTTGTTCCACCTGAAGACGTGAGGAGGAGGTAGAGCAGGTCATCTACTGATGGAAGGTCGGTGGTTCGATCCCCGGCTGCTCCGGACTGCAAAGAGGCCAAACACTGAACCCGAGTTTCTCCTGAGTGAATGTCGGTAGAAAGACTGAGCTGCGTTGTATAAGGTGCTTGGCAAAAGTAAGACCCATTTTATCCAGGCCACATTTGGAAACAGTAATCCATGTTTCAAAATGCTGCTGCACTTTGCTGCTGGGAGGTGAGGTGAAGGCGCGTTGTCCTCCTATGCATGGGAGGACAATGCATAGGAGGATTGTCCTCCCATGCAAAGACAGGTTCATTAAACTCAACCTGTCCTTGGTGCATTGTCCCTCAACCGTCCAAGGAATACATCGATTATTTCCTGAAGCTTTCAGCGATTTCTGGACCCTGTGGATTCCTGCCTCATCCCCGTGGTCGGCCTGGATGACGCTCCTTCGTGACCCCTGTCCTCCTCGGCTCAATGTGCGCCAGGCGAACCTCTGCGATCTCAGGCCGCTGTGTCGGGCTCCCTATGCAGCTGAGCCTCACACCTCTGCCCCAGCTGCTGTCAGGATTGGCCTGGTAAACGCCAGACCGCTGGTGAACAAAGGAGGAGTTATTTACCTCCTGGAACCTGGACTTTATGTGCGTCACTGAGATTTGGCTTAACACGTGAGTCCAGTATTTTATCCGAACTTTTACCAGCGGCTTGTTCCTATTTTAACACACCGAGGACATCAGGGGAGGAAGAGGTACAGCGGGTGATTTTTAAAAAAAAGGATTTTAAATCTAAACTGTGATTTTTAGAGTTTTCATCTTCCAGCTTTGAGCTCACATGTTTTGAAGTTAATCACTCTCACTCAGTGATCTTTGCTGTTATTTATCGTCCCTCTAAATACAATAAGAACTTCATAAATTACCTTTCAGAACTTCGAGCTGGGACTTTGCCCAACTACGATCATGTTTTTATTGTGGGAGGTTTTAATATCCATGTCTGCTGTCCAGACAAACCTCTGGTGAAAGCGTTTTTAAGCCTGACTCTTTTAATCTGGTCCAGTCCATACCCGGTCCCACACACGAACACGGAAACACACTAGGCTTGGTCTTGTCGCACAGTCTACCTGAGTCAGACGTGGAAATATCTGACGCTGCCTTTTCTGATGCTGTTTTCACGAAACCACCGCACATGTTCGCCGCTGTTGGATCATTAACCCTTCCACTGCTGTCCAGTTCTCCTTTGCTTTTAGCCAGCTGTCTGTCCCCGCTGATCTCACTCCCTTGGACATAGAGGACCTCAACTCCTGGTTTGAATCTTCTTGCCTTACTATACTGGACTCTGTGGCACCATTAAAAACCAGGCAGCCCAAGGCTAAAACCGAGCCTTGGTTTAATAACACCACTTGGGCTGTGATGAGGAAGTGTCATAGAGCTGAATGCAGATGGAAGAGGGACAAACTGCAGGTGTCTCTTCGAATCCTAAGGACTGCTGGCGCCTCTATCAGGATACGGTCAAAGAGGCTAAAAGAAAATACTTCTCCAAGATAATTTCCTCCAACAGTCATAATCCATGTGTGTTATTTAACTTAATGACACATTAATATCTGGTGTAGTCCCTGCTAATTTTAAGCATGCATAAGAAACCCGCCCTGGACCACACTGTATTGGCTAACTACAGGCCATCTCCAAGCTGTCTTTTATGTCTCAAATCTTAGAGAAAATTGTATATTCCCAGTTGATGGATTTTTTAAAATGAGAACGGTATCTTAGAGGTCTTTCAATTAGGCTTTAAAAACCTTCATAGCACTGAGTCAGCAGTCTTAAAGGTTTTTAATGATTTCCTCCTTTCCTGCGATTCTAGTAATCATGTTGTTCTGGTCCTCCTTGACCAAACACCTGCCTTTGACACTGTAGACCACAACATTTACTGTGGCTTGCACCATCTTGCAGACATTCGTGGTACTGCTTTGAATTGGTTTAGCTCTTATCTTTCTGACAGAACTGTTAGTGTTAACCTTTTAGGGCACGAGTCCTTTTCTGCTCCTCTTCAGTTTGGGGTCCTGCAGGGCTCAATTTTAGGGCCTCTGCTTTTTTCATTATATTTACAGCCCGTGGGAACCATCCTTAGAAGGCATGTGATATCCTTCCACTGTTATGCTGACGACTGTCAGATTTATCAATGTGCATGATCTGTACACCTGTTTTTGATAATAAAGCTGGCTTTGACTTTGACAGTTTACCTTATTTCATATGTTAGCTCGTGCTTTGTGTTTCCACCTGTGAATGAAGTGTGCTTTGTTGGTACAGGCAGTATAAGTGGATTCTCTGTGCTTTAACAAGATTAGTGTTTGGATTTCTGCTTCACTGAACTGTCAGTTCACTTTAATTCATTAGTGTAGAAACCTGACACACGTAACTCCACACAGTCGCCAAGTTCCTCTGGTGACAAAGCAGGCCAAGCTTTTATTGTTTCTCTCTTACTTTTGCGCGTGTTAACAATTTCACATTTAAAGGCTTTGTACTGTGGACGTGCTGCTCTGTGTGTCCTTAAATCTGCTTCAGTTATGGACAGCTGATGCTTGTCTAAACCCAGCAGCTGTGAATTAAATGTGTGTGTGTCTGTTTTCTATTGCAGGCCACATGAGACTGTGGTGCCTCTCGAAGACCCCATTGTCACCGAGGTCACGTCAACACTGCAGGAATGGGCCTTACTGTGGAAGCAGCTCTATGTGGTAAGCAGCGCGGAGCATCCGTGTGCATCGTGTCGCTTTGTTGTCAGGAACAAAGGGAATGCAACAGACCGAGTCCCCCGAAGCCCGACATCTTTAGAAAGAATCCAGTCGCTGCTTAATCTCGGCAAACATCATTATTATCACATGTATTCTGAAGCTGTCCCAGAATCTGAAAGTGCTGCAGTTGTTTTTGTTTTCGTGAAGAACTATTCTTGGAGGTTAACTAAAACTAACCCAGCCTACGGTGTGGGGAGGCCTTCAGCAGCAGTTGGTGCTTGATAAATCTCTGTTTTGAAGAAAGAAATACAAGTAGCTGATCAACCAATCAGAACGCTGCACAGCTGCAAATCTTAAAAACATCTGCTCTTCATTTTTCCCACACCGAGTACAGTTTTTCTTGTTTTGTGGGTTTATAACCAACTAAATAAATGAGAGACTCAGGTTAACTTAAATCATGCTGCTGTTATTGTGTATATATTTATTTATATTTCTTCATACATTCTTATATAGTTCTATATTGTGTATTTTGTTGTACAGTTATTTTATTTTCAACTTTAATTTATATTTTATTCCTTCCTAGTTAAATTTACCCTTTTTAATTTTTCATATTTATTTCCTATCTTATTCATAGCCTTTTTTTTTGTTTTCTTTAGGTCACGAGCAGTTGTCCAAGCATTTCACTACATATCGTACTGTGTATGACTGTGTACGTGACAAATAAAATTTGAATTTGAATTTGATTAACTTTACTTTAGCTGGTTTTGTAACGTGGGTTCATCCCAGTTCACACAAAATCTCCAACTCAGATCTTTTCTCTGTGTAAATCGGTGAAAGTGAATATTTTCTGGATGAATTCAGTGGACCAGCTGTGAAAAAAGAAACTCCCGCTGCTGGGATCAATAGCAAAAATAATGCACAATAAAATAAATAAAACATGTTCATCTGAGGATAGCAAATAATAATTACTACTTCTTATTGCACGGCTGTGTGAGAACAGAGAAATGGAGGATACTGATTTTGACCTGTATTAAAATAAAAATATTCTCAACCAATCATATTTCTGAATTGCACCAAAGACCTCTGAATGGGAACACTGACTTGTGTCCAGCCTCGGCCTGTGCTGCCCACAGATTCATGTATTTTTAAGGTGCGATGTTCCTGCGATGTGCCTGGCTCTGAAAGCACAGTGAAGGCTTTCTGTACAAAAGTGCAAAGGCTGCAAGCAGTAACTGTGAGCTCGCTGTCACTCATATCTGCATCACTGTCAGCCAATCAGATTTTTCACTCACTCCACCCTCTCTGTCCAGCCATCAGTTCGTAGCCTTTTTTCGTACTTTTAGGCCATCTGTCTTCTCGCCACTTCCTGTCGCAATATGTGATCGGAAATCCATCTGTCCCTAAACGGATAGAGGGGAAAGTAATCCGTGCATTAGGTCTGGTTGTAATCTAAAACTGTCGCTGTGCTCCGTCTCCTGTCTCTGTTCCGATGGTTATTTTCATCACTCATCTTCCTCGTGTCCTGCCAGCCCCGTCGCTCTGTGCTTTTATTCTGGTTTAACAGACTTTTGTCTTTGCTCCCTGCCAGAGTTGAAGAGATGAAAGACAAAATTGTCATTGTCGGGTTCTGCGTGACAGATTTTCTATTTCCATCCTGACAGATCTGACATTA